TGCCTATGTCTTACAGACTTCTGCCAGTTTTGTCACAATGATTTTAATTTCTAATATAGAGTATCTGCTTTCTTCGGGGGTGGGGGTCTGAAGGCTTTCTCTTGCATACACAGCTCAAAAAAACCCCCAAAACAAAACCTGTTATTTCCCTAAAAACCAGGGTCCTCCTTCATTGCAAGAATAACCAGTCAATTAATCTCTGAGCAAACAGTAGAACGTAATCTATTATTGTTTTCTGACTGGGTTTACTAGAGGTCAGAAAGAGATTCTTTAAAGTGATCACACACTTGTTTTTTCCAAAAGCACATCAGAAGTTGTGCCAAAGAAAAACAGAAATACAGTATTTTTTTAAAATATTGAAAAAAAGCTAAATAAAGTCTTTAAATGGCATTACTTGGCCCAGATTGTGTTTGCAATGCAAGGTACAACTCTTGTGATTCTGCTATCTGAAAACTGCTTAAATGAGCTCCATTTCAGCCATGCAATTTATTCCACACCTGAGGTGAAATAAGTCATCCTCCACTCCTCCTCTGATGTTGAGCCATTTGAGAACTAACGGCCAATATGTTTGTGCAAGTCTGTTTGCTTATACAAAGATCCCATTTAAGTTTCTCCACCCAAGAAATTCATGTTGACTTTGGACAATCTCTGGATCATTTTATTCCATTAAATAAATAAACTTATAAACCTGTGACACTTACCACCTTGCTCTCATATATTTTGTGCTATTATAAGGGTAACGTTTGTATTAGGGACATATTATGAGCTAATGTCAGACACAGTAATTTCATATTTGGTCAAAAAAATAAAGTTGAATCCATAGAGATATGGGCCTCTCTGGGATGATCTCAAGGTCTTGCTGATGTGAGTTTGGATTATCTGCATAACAGATTTGTGTTCATTCTTATTAATTAATGAAAATAACTCAGTCAGCAGGGATTGGCAGCACAGATATGTTTGCAGGATCAAGAGCGTCATACATGATGAAAATAATTTCTCTGTTATGTTTAAAAATGGAAGATACTAGAAATTTCAGTACTAGAAAATGGGGAGGAAATCACAGACTTCCAAGCTGATTTGTTCTTCAGGTTATGATTTTATATTCCTTATTCAATCAAAAAAATTTCTATTGCAGTCAGTTAAAAATTTTACCTGACTAAAGACTGCAGAATTAGTCCATTAGCCACCATGAATGGAATTTAGCCTGTGGATCCTCAAAAAAATTCAAATACATGCTTATCTTCCCATGCAAAATTTCCAAAAGTTATACCCATGTAATTTGGCTTGGCAGTATACCAGCTTTTGAAAAAGGAATGGACTGGTCATCTTCAGACTTTTGTCACAATCCCTGTTAGGTTGTGCTGGCTTTCAGGGCTCAATTTACTTTTACAGGATGGTGGAACCTGAGGGAGAAAGAGAGAGGACCTAATAAGTAACCTTACATCCAGTTGCTCAGAGCAGCCACAGTTCCTCCTGAAATCACTGAACTGTCAATGTATTAGCAGCACAGAGGTTTAGGCCGCTTTTTCAGTAACTAAGTATGGAATTTAGATACCTAACTTTAGTAAGTTTAATTTGAAAAAGTTAGCCCGGTGTTGTTAATTTTTGGAGCACTCACTGTAGAAGGTAACCCATTTATTAATATATAGTGAGAACCACTCCCTATACCTGAAGAGTTTGACTGTTAAAGAGGACGCCACATTTATTCAGAAATTGGGAGTCGGATCTCTCAGCACTCATGGGATGGCTTCAACATCGTGAGCTTTTAACAATAATCTATTGTATATTATTTTTATTTGCCAAATCTTTTCTGAACCTCTTTGTGGGGTATTTTGAAGTGTTTGTCTATGACACAAGGGTTACGTGGTTACTGTTCCCTCCCCCTGTAACCCCCAACTGGGTGAAAGCTGAGACTCTCCAGTAATCACTTCTTTTCAGGAGTCAGAGATACATATCAGGCATAAAATATCGCAAGACTGACGAAAAATTGATAGCATGAGACAAATAAAGGGTGGGGATCAGAAACACATTTACAGAGTGTTCTTCACCTGCCAAAAGTCACAGAGCATATTGGTGGCAAATAAGGTGACCACCTATTTCTAATTGGGTGGGACAGTCCTGTTTGGGAACCTCAGGTCCCAGTCCTGGGCTGCATGACTCTGGGACAATATTTGTCCCGGATTCACAGCATCGTGCAGGGATCCACAGGAAATGGCAGGTTTAAAAATATAATGCCGGGATCGGGATGTAGGGGGCACCACACATGCATGTGTGCACCTGCACACGCGCACACAGCCAGGAAATACAGCTGGGCAGCATGGAGAGCAGCTCCCTGCAGGTAAGTCTGTGGAGGGGAGAGGGCATGGGGTGGAGAGAGACTGTAGATAGAGGTTCCCACAGTAAGGGTGGGAGTGGGGCAAGCGGCTGGGTGTGCTGCATGGGACTGGGGTGTAGAGCAGGACAGAGCTCAGGGAAGCTCATCCAGGAGGCCCAGAGCAAGGGGAGGGGCCCTTCACCACTGCCTGCACCCCTGAGGGGGAACATGGGGTGGGGGGAAACATGCCCCCCCCCCCACCAGATTTGTGCATGGGGCAGGAGCAGATGCAGGCAAGGTGCCCCCTACCCAACTGGCAGCAAGGGGGCAGCAGTGGTGTGGAGCTGTGCCCCCCACTGCTGCTGGGTGGGTAGGGGGCATGTGGCCGATGCAGGGCTCCCAAGTGAAAAGCAATAGGGTGGGGAGACCCAAGCCCTCTGGGAAGACTGAATCCATCCCTGGCCTGCTCAGCTCGGCTTTGGCTGTGCCACTGGCGGAGGCATAGTGGGGGAGAGGCAGGCATATGTCCCTCCTTGACGTTTTAAAAAGGTTTGTCACCCTAGTGGCAAAGTCTGGAGCAGAATTCAAGTACCTGTACTCCTAGGTCAGGGTCCTATCCTTTAGCTCGTACTTTCCCCCATATTCTGTGTTTTGTGTGTGCTGTATGTACTTTTAATAAGATGAGCGAGTGGTCAACCAGTTTCTGCATGAGGTTAGGCTGCCGAGTAAATAAAGAAGTGGTTAAGGCTGTTTTTGCTAAAAATAGAAATTAAGATTAAAAACAATGTTTTGGCCTTAGGCCCTTATTTGGGGTTTTGGAAAACAGAATGAGCATTTTCATTTTCCATTACCTGCAGAAAGCCTTATAGGCAAAACATTACTTCTCATCTAATTTTGTTTTCTTGCGCATGTTTGAATAAAACTTTCTTCCTTCTTTTCTTTTTCATTTAAAGTAAGCTAATGGAAATTATGCCAGGATATGACCAATAATAGTTTTACTAGGAATATTAATTTGGTTAAACAAAGCTCTTTCTATGGTAGCCTCTATGGTAATTTGCTTAAGCTTTGGGGAAGAAATATTAGAAGATGCTATTTTCTTTCAGCAACTTATCGTTTTGCTTCAAATGATTATATTTAATGCTAACTGTCATGTACAAGCTCACTCATTCCATTGAGGGAAATAGCTGTTGCATGCACAAAGGCGACATCCGTTAATGCTAATAAACTCCACTGTGCGAAGTCAGTGATCTCAATTGGGATGAAATTTACTGTGTATCAATTAGAAGCTTTGATGGCAGCATTTGAAATATTATGGGCCAGATTCTTATTTACACTAAGCAAGGTCCTTTTTTAGTCCATCTCACAGGGTAAAGGGCTCTAAATAGAATATCAAATAATCTTTTGTCACATTGTTTATTGTAAATGAAATCTTGCTTCTTTTGTAACTTTCTGTCCTTAAGTATTTTATGCAAGTAATGGGACTAGATGATACTGAATTCTGTCTTGTGTGCTGTAGTCTCCTTTACTAAAGAATCTGAGTGCCTTTTGATCCCTTTAATGTATTTATCCTCCAACCACCATATGTGGTAGGAACATGGTGTTTACCCTCATTTAGAAACGGGGAACTTGAAGTAAAGAGAGACTGTGGTTATGTATGGACATTCAGGGAGGTTAGACTGAGTTAAAAATGGCCACCCAATCTAAAGTATGTTGGGATGGGGGTGGGCTAGCAGGGAGATCAGGGGTTAGCAGGGTCTGTGGGGGGAAGAGGAGGGGGACCAGTAGGGTTTGATAGGATCAGGGGGGCAAGGGATCCATGGGGGGCTTGGAGGGATTGAGGGGGCTAGCTGGGTCCATAGGGAGTTGGTGGGGTTCAGGCGGGTTTGGCAGGATCAGGGGAACTAGAAGGGTCTGCAGGAAGGCAAGGAGGGGATTGGAGGATCCCCTCCAGGACCAATCAGGAGTGTCTTCCAGGATGTGGGATTTGTAGGGCTGGGGATGGGGCTAGCTGGTCTGTGGGGTTTGGGCTTGGGGGGTGGGAGGGAAGTTGTCTGCCTGGGGGAGGGGTGAGGCCAAAGGGGCTAAAAATAGCCTGGTGCCATGGGAGTGGGTAGGAAAAAGGCTGCCCCAGTGCTTGGGGCCAGCAGTGGGCTTTCCCAGTCCCAGGGTTGTGCTGGGAACTGTACAGCAGTTCAGTTAGATTGCTCTTGCCGGATCCGATTTAAGTTAGACTACATTGGAGGTAGGTTTAAATTAGGTTGGGACAGCCATTTTTAGACCTGAACTTCTTGCCCTTCTATACAGTTTGCAGTTATATCCCCACTTAGGTCAATCTAAATGTAAGGTCCAAGCCTGGGCGAACTAAGTTGGATTGGGTGGCCATTTTTAATATGATCTAACCTCCCCTTAACCTTCCCAAATGTCTTTACTTAGCTTCTTGGCAACACCCTGACAATGCCTAACACAATACAACAGCACAAACTATAGCAGCTATAGCCACTTCCGCTGACAGACAGACAAGGAGAAGGAGGTGGTGGTAATAAGCTGTGTATTTTTTCAGTGGGCCTTTACTCAAAATTCTGACTTAATTTGTTTCAGAGTGTTTTCTAGAAAAGCTGAGATGAATTAATTGAAATATCCCTTTAAAAAAAAAAAAAGACAAAAGTATCACTGCTTTATATTTCAGACACTGATATTAAAGAACTAGAGGATATATTTGGACTTCACGGACAAACAGAACACAAGCTGGACTTTCTCCGAAAGAACGTGCCAAAAGATATGAAGCTTGTGCTGATTGGCCATTCAATTGGTTGCTACATCACCCTTGAAATGATGAAGCGGGCATCAGAACTTAAGGTAGGTCAGCCTTGGAGAAAGTAATTTATATCACTCTTCACGGCATTCTGTACACTTTGTATTTAATTAATCAACCCTGATAATGGGAAGCAGCATTTCCATCCCATGTGTTTTTTCAGACCTCAGAAAAAGGCATTTAGTTACTTTTCTTGAATGATCAGTTTCAGTACAGAGTCATACAAAATGCACAGAATTTTATTTTCCACTGTAATGCACTTTATAAAGCGATGAGCACTTCTGCAATGGGGAATGTAGAAAGGCAAGAGTTCTCTGTGGATTGAAGATAGTGTTACTTGTGACACTGATGGTACCTCAAAAGATGTTGCAGATGTTCAAGTAATTACTTGCATAGGCTGGTTTGGTAATTAGGCATATCACAGAAATAGTAAGTGTCATTATCAATACTGCTGTTGTATATGTTCACACATTCAATAAAACTAAACAGTATTTTATCATGAGTACAGGATCAGAGAGTGTCGCTGTAGATGGAGTAAAGACGTTTTATTGAAAGAGATAATATAATAAGTTGAGTCTGCAAATGTTTATAGTTAATATGCATGTTTTAAACACCTGTTATTGAGTGCTGAAAAGTTTTCAGAAGGTTTCAGCATTCTCTTGAGCATTTATAATTTGCAAATTGCTTATTAAACATATCAGTATCAGAGCTGTGAATTCAAAGAGTATTATCCATTTTAGTAAAATGGGATCCTAATTTGAGTCTCGATCTGTTACTGGAATAAACTAATTTATGGTGATAAGACAAATACACAGGACTTCCTTTTATGCTTCTCAAATCCAGAGCACTTTGCAAACATGAATATTCATACAATCTTAATAAACTAGCTAAGTAAATTAATAGTACTGGAAAGAGAGCTGAAGCACAGAAGTTAACTGATTTGTACAAGGTGAGAAGGAGCTAGTGTCAGTGCTGGGATTTCCACTCCAGACATCCTTACCAACAGCTGTACTGTGCAGGCCACTGGACTTTGACCATTACGTTGCTACTGCATGAGACAGAAACTGAAAGTAGCTAATGAAGAAAAAATGACTTTTTTAAAAGGAGAGGTAGTTAGCTGTGCTGGGCTGAAGTCAAGCCAAAGGCAGGAGACAGTGGTACCTCATAGACTATAGTACTCAAATACAAGACAAGGTTTTTTCCTCCAGTTAGCATGGGGAAAAGGGACCCCCATCTTAAATTCACATACAAGTAAACTGTTTCATAGTTTCATAGTTTCATAGTCGGAAGGGACCTAATAGATCTTCTAGCCCGACCCCCCGCCAGGGCGGGAGAACAACCCAAAAAACAAAAAAACAAAAAAACAAACACTCACCCTAAAAACAAAAACGGGACTCAAATGAGTCCAGCCAGGTAAGTATCCAGCCTCTTCTTAAAGATCCCCAGGGTAGGGGCCAGCACCACCTCCCTTGGAAGTTGGTTCCAGCTCCTAGCCGCCCTAACTGTGAAGTAGTTTTTTTGGATGTCCAATCTGTACCTCCTCTCCATCAACTTGTGCCCATTACTCCTTGTTATGCCAGCAGGGGCTAGGGGAAACAGCGTCTCCCCCAAACCCTTCTGGTTCCCCCTAGTGAGTTTATAGACGGTCACCAGGTCCCCCCTCAGCCTTCTCTTGTGGAGGATGAATAGGTTCAAGTCCCGCAGTCTCTCACTGTAGGGTCTGCCCTGTTGTCCCCGGATCATGCGGGTGGCCCTCCTCTGGACCCTTTCCATGTTGTCCACATCCCTCCTGAAATGGGGCGCACAGAACTGGACACAATACTCCAGCTGCGGCCTGACCAGCGTCGCATAGAGGGGGAGGATCACCTCCCTGGCTCTACTCGAGATGCACCTGTGGATGCACGACAAGGTCCGGTTAGCCCTGCCAACCATGACCTCACATTGTCGGCCCATGTTCATCTTGGAGTCAATAATGACACCAAGATCCCTTTCCTGCATGAAATGCATTGTCTATCATTAAACTGCTGCCAAAAACTGCATGTGCTCAGTCCTGGAAACCAACTCTGAAGTTGATTCAACACAGATAACACTGAGCATGACTATAAAGTCCATTACCCTTATTGTGTACCACAAGGATAGATTAGTGCAGCCCACCTGAATAAAATTTATGGTAGTGCCCATTGCACTCAGTTCCCCTCAGCACCATCTCCAGTCATGATTGAAGAGCTAATTAACACATGGCTCCTTTTGGGCAGGGGGGAGGCTTTCTGGAGTACACACACATACTGGGCAGTGGGGTCACCATGGCTTGAAATGCTGTTGACTCTGCTGGGGCCCAGCCCAGTGAACTATATGGTAAATAAAAAGCCTCTTGGTTTCAGACTAATATCATGAATAGTTTGTTCTATATATATATGTTGGTACAAAACTGCTACTTAAAAGTGTATTTATGGAGTACTTGTAGTAATTCAGAGAGGCATACATTTTTGTAAGCAACTACTGTAGTTTACTTTGGATGCTACAAATGAACTTGCAGGAAACATATGAGGAGCAGATACATGAACCTGGATATTATATGTTGACTTGGTTTGTGTTGATGGAGGCGGGGGGAGGTACAGCTGGCATCTGGATCCATTGACATAGCAGTGCTGGTCAGAAACCAAGTTACTGGTATCAACTGGTGCCTTGGTGAGAATAGGTATTAGGTGGTCTGCTGCTGGCGATGTGTCATTTGAATTGGGGGCCTGAGATAAGCCAGGACAGATTTGTCCCCTCCGGGAGGGGTTGGAGGTCATTAACGGTGCATCAAAAGTGTTCAAGCTGGGGGATGTAGGTGATAACCAGAGGGATTCTGTTTTGTCACAGGGTTGGTATTGTACCAGATTAGAGCTGGGTCCGAGCCTGGCTCTGTTGATTTGAGGGCTATGGTTTTGGGACTGCTCCATCCTTAAGGTGTACATCCCAGTCAGTGAGATCACAGCAGATACCATTGTAATGTGGAGCCTGGGTGTAGATGATGGATCTAGTGATGTGTTGAGGATTAAAACTGGTGGTATGGAAGTAGCTGTAGTGGTCCACTGATTTCTGATGCAATGTTGTGGTAATGCAGCTACTGGAAGCTTTCACAGCATTAAAGTTTCACCTGGTAGAATTTCTCTAAAGATTCTTTCTCACGTATTCCTATAATGAAGATATCATTGATGTACCTTAGATATATCAGGGGAGCGAGAAGGTAGCTAGAAAGGAAATGGACGTCAAGGCCTTCTATATTAAAGTCAAGGTCAAATATATCTGACATCTTTTGGGGGCCAATATGTGTGCCCATGGTAGTGCCATTCATTTGTAGGTACAGGGAGTCTCCAAATCTGAAATACAGGTAGTTTTGTGTGAGGACAAAGTATGAGAGTCCATTGGAAATTGAAGCATTTTCATCATCAGGGATAATGTTCTTTATGGCTTATAATCCATCCCCATGGGGGATGTTGGTGTACAGAGATGCAACATCTGTGATAGCTAAGACAGTTGCTGGAATCTTGTCAATAGAATCCAGTTTCTTTAAGAATGTGTTTTTTCTCATAGCTGGAAGCTCTAGTGGTAAAAACAGTTAGACAACAACTCCTGATCCTTTAAATCAAGTAAAGTACTAAATATAAATTAACAAAACACATAAAGCGAAAAATCAAATAGAGATTTAAAATACTTCCATCTTTATATAATAGAAAGTGACAGTAGCAGTGAAGAAAAGAGTTTTCTTTTTTTAATGAAATAAAAATCTGTAGTGACAGTTCTCATTTAGCTAGAAAAGATTGTGCAAGGTGAGAGAGAATGAAGGAGATTATCCCTGTGACTCTTTTTTTTCCCTTTGCACCTGAAATTTCTCAGTGAGTCCTTCTGTGTCACTCAGACACAATATTCTTCCTTTACATCCAATAGAATGACAAGCACGCTATAGATGCTCAGCCATAAATAATAAGAATGACAATCAATAAATAATACTGACATTCTTTACATCCCTTCTTCGTCAGTAGCCACTTTTTTAATATTACATGACCCATGTTGAAGAGAAGTACTAGTAATATAATGCATGTTTCTTATGGGCATGAATAGCCCCTTCCTTTTAATATCCATTTTCATTGTTACATCAATTAAAATAAAACTTGAGCTTAATCTGATACATTTCCACAGGCATAATATATTCTAAACAAGGAATTTATTATAAACAAGGAACTTATGATGGCATTTGTATAACTGTTTTATCTACTCAAGAAGGGAGTGTTTTAGAAAACATCATATGCAGTAATTTATCCAAAAATATCAACTCTTCTTTGGTCAACATCTGTACAGTTTTTATTGCTCAAATAGTTTTATCTGGTTTCAATTAACTATGAATTTTTGAGTAATTTTTTTACACCTGGCTTAGTGGATGCTGGCGTCATATTTGTCAATGTGTTGAAACTTTGGTATCTGTAGGACATGCTAAAACTGCCCTGTGCAATGTATGCTTGAAGTTTAATATATGACATGCTACATTTAAGATGCATTTAACAATAGAAAATATTTGTGTAAGCCAGAGTGTTGTGCAACCTTTGTCCTTTTGCCAAAAATAAGTTAACTGTTACGTTTTATAACATATGAAGTGTGATAATAAGAAACTTGTGTTTCCATTTCTCCTTTTATTTTTACTGGAATATTTGATTCCCACAAGATTTTGAGCACGTATGTGTAGTTTAGTAGCTAGATCATTTTATTTTATTTTTGTGTAGTTCTTTTGTGATATTCCTTTATTATATGAGGTTTTTTGGTTTGTTCCTAAATTCACTGTTTTTTAAAAGCCTTTCACTGCTAAAGTTTTACTGTTCTGAGCTAGAGCTTAAAAGTGCTGTATTTATTATTCTAGTAATTCACTAACTGTTATTTTTAGGGTATATTAAGAGGGTTTTATTTTTTGTACTCTGTGTATTGCACTGTAGTAATTAAACCAGATGTAGACCAGCTTATCCTCTTCGGGTACATTGAGGAACTAGGCTGGAAGGCATGAAAGAGA